CGAGTATGCAGTTTGGTAGCCCAATAAATTTTAGTATAATAAAGGGCAAGTTTTTTTTTTAATTTATTTTTTATATATACATATATATTTTTGCGGTGAGGAAAGGGTTTAAAATGCCTTCGCACCATATAGGAGCCGTTTTTGTTGTTGTTGTAACAGCATACAAATTCCCCAAAGAGATTTTGGGCCGTCACTCCTACGTGCGTGGTGTAACCATTAAAACAATCCATCCTCCTACCCTGGAACCACTTTCGCGTTATTTCAGATTCAGATGATCTCGGTGAAATTCGTGACCGTATCCCATGAGTTCAGCATTTCAGAAACGATATATTCGGATGTAACGGACCGAGTTTTCTCTCCAATTGCGGGTTTACAAAAATTTGAGAAATTCAACAAATTTTTACCTAAAGTTCAAACTTTTTAGAAAATTTTTGGTGTGCGGTTTTTACTTCTAAAGTGCATATTTCAAGTGCCTACGAAATTCCGTTGATTTTTTGATAATTTTTAGTGGCACAATTGCCTTCAAGATCTATTGCAATTATTTACGAATATAATGTTTCTTATATTCACAATAAAATTAAATTTTCCAACTTTTCCATAATTTTTTACAGGAATGAAACAAGTATCGAGGATAACATTTGGGCTGGCATATTGTGTGCTGTGTTCTTCTTCTTAATCATTTCATTGTTGGCATTTCCGAATGGCCCATTTACCCGCCCACATCCAGCACTATGGCGTATAATATTCGGCTGCTCGGTATTGTATCTATTAATGCTACAGTTTCTCATGTTTCAAAATTACAAAACTATAATGAACATACTCTATTGGCTGGACCCGAAATTGCAAAACTTTCACATCGACATGGAGAAGGTGAGGACTTGGTTTTTATAAGTAAATATTCATATTCAACACTGTATATATGTTTTCCAGGAATATGGTTCCAATTGCTCTGATTTCAGCTTTGAGCGCATAAAAAGCTCAATCGATGTATTCGCTTGGGGCCATTTTTTTGGATGGGCCTTCAAAGCCGTACTCATACGACACGCTGGTATTCTGTGGGCTATATCTGTGATGTGGGAAATTACTGAAATTACTTTCGCGCATTTGCTACCGAATTTCGTTGAATGTTGGTGGGATGCGCTCATCTTGGATGTAATCGTATGTAATGGTTTGGGCATCTGGGTAGGCTTGAAAATTTGTAAAGCCCTCGAAATGCGCGAGTATAAGTGGGCGAGCATTAAGGATATTTCATCTACGACGGGTAAAATTAAGCGTGTTGTGTTGCAATTCACACCGGAGAGCTTCACATCTATACGGTGGCTGGATCCCAAGTCAACAGCGATGCGTTTTGCGGCAGTTTGTCAATTGGTTATATTTTGGCAGGTGCGTTTTTGTGTGGACTACTGCGAACGTGATTCTAGTTCCTTTAATAATTACTGCTTTAATTAACAGGTGACGGAACTCAATACTTTCTTCATCAAGCATATTTTTGAAATGCCTCCAGATCATTATCTCGTCATTGGCCGTCTCGTTTTCATTGGCCTCTTTGTAGCGCCCTCAGTGAGGTAGGCGATTATTGCTTGTTGGTTTTGTGTGTAAATTCTTTAATGTTTTGCATTTAATTTTTCACTTTCTACCATTTTCATCGCATTTAGGCAATACTACACTTACGTGACGGATACTCGTTGCAAACGTGTTGGCACTCAATGTTGGGTGTACGGCGCTATTATGGTCTCAGAAGCAATACTTTGCCTAAAGAATGGCAAAGAGCTTTTCGAACGTACACAAGCCATAAATATTATTTTGTGGTTAATCATGCAGGTCATTGTATCAGTGGCCTTTGTTTATGGTTGCATGCTGTGGCAGGTTGGTTTGGCGTACCTTAAAGGGATCGCGCATATAGTATATGTTAAATTCTATTTGTTTATATGCTTCGCTTTTCATTTTTCTTTAGCGCGCACAGAACAAGTATAATAAGTCAACGGAATCGCCCAGCAAAAAGGGTGGCGCACAAAAAGACAGTGATTCTGCGCGAAAAGGCGTAGTGAAGGGTAAGTTGGCAGAAAATGTTTTTAAGTGTGCACAGAGAAAGTTTTTGTTTAATGCTTCTGTGAGTTATTTAAGCTCTATGTTTCTTTGTTTAAAATTTGTACCACCTATGCTGCTCTAGCTTTCATTTACACTGTATAAGTATTTTATTTTAGCGATCTATTGGTTAACCCTACTACATTCTTGCGTTTTCCATATGGATGATGGACAGTTATTTAACTCCTTCGAAACTAGCCAATATGATTTTCCCTTTCAAACCATTTATATAGTATATATTTTTTTTTGCCCAAACCCCTCTCCATCCCATTATTTTATATTGCACTTCACTCACTCCTACATTTTCTCTTGTGCACATTTTTCGGTGTGTTTTAACATTTTAAACTTCTCTCTTTTCTCCTCAATTCGTCGCTACTTTGTGTCGTTCGTGTCTCCGTATAGACTACAATCACTTCTTACATCCGCAATCGCTCGCATTAAAACTAAAAAATGTTTTCAGAGAACGCTCCGATAGAACACTATGTGATGATACACTAGAAGACATTAAAATAAAAATCGTTTGAGAATTGATTATTTAGCATGTTAAGGCTTATTTAGCTTGCTAGGATTTCCTAATGCTTTATTTTCATAATTAAATTTTAAAATTGTTTTTTGGTTGTTAAAAATACTTTTTGTTGAGCCAAATTTTGCTTTTACAAATCTCTAATTTTGTACTCAACGGTCAACTTTTGTATGAGATATACTCTGCGTTTCCAATTTCTTAGTTTTTCCTGTTTATGGAAATGAAAGATTCAAACCTCGGATCTCTGGAGTGAGAGTTGCAAGCGCTGGTTCACAACAAATAGCTTTCCGTGCAGGATTGAAAATCTCGTATGCGCTTATCGGTAAGGTTTTCAAAAACTATTAAAGCTCCATATGTTGCCCGAAGAATTCACAATTTGCTGATCACTTTAAATTCGACTTACTGGAATTCTCGAAACTAAAGTGGTCCTCTCACAAATTCTGGGAAGTTCGAAAAGATTTGGGGGATTTTAAGCTTTTCAACCCATTTCCGAATCAAGTGAAAATTGTAATATAATAAAATAAACAAAATATTAATACTAATTTTTGGAATTAAAACTATTAATTTTTGAATTATAATTTGAAACTATTTGAAAAATTTAATAAAAATCTCAAAAATTTATGTTTGCCGTGCTATTAAACGAGTCAGTCAGAGCTTTTACGGCTATAATTTTCAGAAATATTTTATGCTGTTACAAGAGCTTCGCGCACCAAATATTAACAGAAAAAAAATAACGAGAACAACGCTGGTTTAGATTTTTTTTGAGCACCGCATTAAAACCATTTTTGAATTTATTTTGATGCTCACGTCATAAAAAATATACATATTGAAAACAAATTTTTTTTTTAAATTACTAATTTCGTTACAAATTCTTTTTGTATTACTTTCTTTTAATTTATAATTCATTTAACTTTTCTTTTTCTAGGCAAGCAATCACCAAAAAAATCTCCAAAGCGCAACATACAAAAAATTGAATAAAATTCAAAAGTAAAATTTAAACAAAAACAGAAAAAAGAGGAAAAAATTAGGAATCATAGGCAACTAACCAAATCATAACCTCCGACTATTTATTCCCGCATCGATAAATAAATGCCAATAAAAAAGAGAATATATAACATCAGCGAAATTCTAACACTATCTTTGTCAAAAACTTAAAATGCGAGCATCTTAAAAATTAAATCTGTACGCTACTTCATTTTATATTACCAACACTATATAGCAATAATATATAGTTTAGTTATACTAATGTATGTATGAGAATATGCATATAATGAGTGTACTGAGTAGATTAATTGTAATTAAAAAAAAAACGCAAAAACGACAAAAAAGTGTATGCATAAAAACTTGTAGATCGAAACCTTAGATGACGGCGTAAAGAATAAAAACTTAAAATAATTGTAAAATTAACGTGGAGATCCAATTAAGAGCTAAATTTAAAAAATTCATTAAATGTAACATAAAATGTAAAAAAAAATAAACAAAAAATGAAATCAAAAACCAAAAAATCTGTAAAAGTTATTGAATAATGTATAAATTAAGATATAAGAGGGCTT